AGAGAGGGGGCGGGGGGCGGGCGGGACATAAATGAGTATTTAGATAGACGGACAGACAGACAGAGAGACGGAAGGCGAAACAAAGTAATTAAGAGGGATTAACATTAATAGCCACATATCGTTCCAATGCTTATAGCGACTTCACATCTCGAGGTGCAGTTTCTACCCCTTTTGTATCGATATTATATCTCTCGATTACTGGATACAGACAAAATATTTTGCCGAAACTGAAAAAATCTCCAAACATCCTGGGGTGTCATTTGGCACAGAAACCCCACCGAGAACCTTAAGTTCTGAATTACTGACGAATTCGAACGACAAAATAAATGAGGTCACATGACAACCTGCGGCATAACGCAATAGCATCGTTTTTACACCCCCCCAAAAAAACACAAAAAAACAACACACACCAACCCCCCCCCCCTCAAAAAACCCCAACAAAACAAACAACAACAAGAACAACAACAAAACAAAAGAAACAAACAAACAACAACAACAACAACAAAATAATAAAAAACAAACAAACAAACAACCCCCCCCCAACTCACCCCAAACAAACGAACAAAAAACCACAGTTAAAGTAAAGTAAAGCCCCACTTTTCGAACCACTTGACTTAACGCACAGCACCAGGGAGGGAAGGGAGGGGGTGAGGAGAGTCACCTCGGGGAGGGGATGGGAATCACATCACACTGGGGTAACAGCAATGTCTTACAAGAACAGGAAGCCAATATCTTACAAGAACAGGAAGCCAATGTCTTACAAGAACAGGAAGCCAATGAAGCCAATGTCTTACAAGAACAGGAAGCCTATGTCTTACAAGAACAGGAAGCCAATGTCTTACAAGAATAGGAAGTCTGTCTTACAAGAACAGGAAGCTAATGTCTTACAAGAACAGGAAGCAGTGCAATGTGATCGCCATGATGCGGGAAAATGTGTGGGAGGGGAGAGAGGGGCGTATTCTTTACTTTTACTAGAATCTGGAAAGAACACACTCATTGAGTGTGTGGTTGGTGTGAACTCTGGTGTGGTTTACTCGCTCTTTCCTATCAAATATCTATCGTCCATACTTCTCCCCCTACTTTTCTTTGTATGTTAGGCTACTCTTTACTCTTTAGTAATACCAATTGTAATCTTCGACCATTATATGACCTAATATATTGCAAGTGCCGTAGAAATCTTACTAAAACTAAAGCAACCACCCCTCCACAAACAGCAAAACAAACAACAAAACAAACAACAAACAAAGCAAAAAATGTAAAAAAAAAATTCTTAACACATAACAAGAACAAGAGCAACAACAAAAACAACAACAACAACAACAACCATAATGACAACAACAATGACAACACAACGACAGCAGCAGCAACAGTAAGAGCAGTAGGAGCAGTAGCAGCAGTTACAACAGCAGCAGCAACAACAACAGCAACAACAGCAGCAGCAACAACAACAGCAGCCACAACAACAACAACAACAGCAACAGAAACAGCAATAGCAGCAGCAGCAACGGCAGCAGCAGCAACAACAACAACAACAACAACATTAACAGAAATAACGATTCGTTTTTATTAAGAGTCATGAGTAGTCACCTGCAGGTGCCTGATAGCCCAGGCGTCGGAGAGTTCAGGCTCTGTCTCACACCGGCACAGGTTGTAGCATCGGACAAAGATGTTACGCATCATCTGGGGAAATATGGACAATGGACAATACCATGTCTGTGAAATGGTGAAATTTTAAAGGTAAAATGGTATAGGTTTAACGCCCTTATCAACACTGTACTGTAAGGTTATTTAAGAGGTGGCATCTCCGAGTTTAACGTCCATCTTCGGAAGGACAGAGCCAGATGGGAAATTCGTGTAAATAAGTGCTTTTCCCGAAGACCGTTGGACTGAGCTGAGGCTTGAGCACCCGAACCTGCAATCTCACGATTACGGGTCTGGTAGCCTAACCAGCAGGTCACTGACACCACGAACATGTCTGTTTATGAGGCCTTAAGGTTTACTGGAGAGAGAGAGAGAGGTGGGG